GACTTGGGCTGAGTGCACCTTAGTCTTTAAACTGACATCCCTGCTCTTCATAATGTTAGAGAGGTCCTTGATAGCAGATTTGTTCAATGCAATATGGCTCCTGAGTTCTGAGCTATTTCTTCTATGCATATTGATTGTGTATCCAGATAATTTCAAATCTTGGGCAACCACAATCTTCTCTCCACTTAGCATGATGTATATATGATCCAGTTCACTGCCAACCCAAAGCCTAATAGTTCTAATCCACCAGCTTCTCTGCAGGGAGAAGGATGGGCTATCTCCTCCCATGAAATTTACAGCTCTGAAAACTCTCTGGAGGGTCAGCTATGAGTTGGTTCCGACTCACCAGTACACAACAACAGCTACACCACTTTTGTTTTTGTTATTGTTGTTGTTGTTGTTGTTGTTGTTGTTATGTGCCATCAAGTCACCTGTGACTCGTGGTGACCCTATGTACAATAGTTCTGAATCCTACCCTATCCTGAGCTAATCTCATCGTCTCTGACAGACCTACTCCCATTTCTGCAGTCCCTGAGTCAGTCTGTCTCCTCCTGGGTCTTCCTCTTCTGCACTGTCCCTCCAGACTTGATGTCCTTTACCAAGGACTGGTCCCTCCTGGCCACGTGCACAAGGTATGTGAGACAGAACTTCAAAATCCTTGTCTCCAGGGAGCCTCTTGTTTTCACCCTTTCCAGGACAGACCTATTTATTCTCCTGGTGGTCACGGTATGTTCCACCCTCTTCTCCAGCACCACAATTCAAAGGCATCGATTCTTCTGTCATCTGTAGTCATTGTCCAGTTCTCTGATGCATAGTAAGTAAATGCAAAGACCATAGCGTTTATCAGGCACACTTTAATCTCTAGACTGACATCGTTGCTCTTCAGTACTCTAGAGAGGTTCCTGACAGCCAGCTTTCCCAGTGGAATTTGTCTTTTCAGTTCCTAACTGCTGGTGCCAATAGTGTTAATTATCAAATGAAGCAGGCTGAAATCTAAATCTAAATCTCAGTCTAAATCTCTTCTTCCTCTATCCTGGAGCTGCCGATTGGCCCAGTGGTAAGAATCTTTTGTTTTTTCTCTTGATGTTGATCTTCAATCCATATCCATATTGAAGACTACAGTCCTTGAACTTCTGCAGCAAATGCCTCATGCCTCCTCAGTTTTGGCAAGTAAGCTTGTGTCATCTACATAATGCAGGTTCCTCCAACCCTGATGCCACATTCCTCTTCATAAAGTCCAGCCTCCCGAATTATCTGTTCCACATATAGATTGAAAAGGTATGAGGATAGGATGTATTCCTGACACACACCTTTCCTGGTTTTGAGCCATGCACTGCTTCCTTGCTCTGTTCTGACTACTGCTTCCTGGTCCAAGTATGGGTTTCACATGAGCACAATTAAGTGTTCTGAGATTCCTATTCTCCTCAAAGTCAGACACAATTTGTTGTGAGCCACAAAGTCGGATGCCTTTGCACAGTCAATTAAACACAGATCGACATTCCTCTGGTACTCTCTGCTTTTTGGCCAAGATCCAAGTAACGTTGGCTATGATGTGCCTAGTACCACAGCCTCTTCTAAATTAGCCTGCACATCTGGCGGTTGCAGTATAAATCCATACTCAGAGCTGTGACATTCAGTTTTCCCAGGTTAGAACAAATTAGAGCAGATCGGCTTCATTTCTGGAGGCATTAAACTGTTACATCTGGAGTTTTTCTGTCTTGTTCCAACCCAGTCCTTTGTTGTACTTTCTAGAGTTGTTTCTTCGCTCCGCCTCTCTGATCTGTCTAGAGGAGGTGAGACAAGAAGAGCTATTGAAACACTGCTCTCTCTTCAGCTTCTGACTTGGGGGCGGGGGGGGGGGGGGGCGGATAACTTGTTTTCTTGTTAAAATGTGATTAACGATGACTTCATGTTTAATGATAGATTTCAGATCGCAGTTAATCTGAGTGTAGAACGCTATGCCCTGGTGTTTGGGGTCAACACGTTCATTGCCTTGGTGATCCAGACCATAATAACTCTGGTCGTAGTTGATACAAGAGGACTGAAACTGCCAATTAGCATTCAGGTAAGTTGGGTTACTTCTGTTTTCCTACTGTACTGTTAATGGGAGGGGAGCGAAACTAGGTTACTACTCCAGAGATTTTTTTTTCCTCAGCCTTATAACTGCCAACATGTAAACTTCTGGAAGAAGTTCTTTGGCACATTTAAAAGAAACAATCCCCTAATTATAGTAGTGTAAAGTCTTTGAGTCTCAGCTACTCCATAATCTAAGCAAGAGGCCTCAGTAGGTATTAGCAACAGTGTAGCTCATCAGATTTTGCAGAACATTGTCTTTTTATTGGTAGCATACCCAACCAAACCTATCCATTTGCAATTTCTATTCACAAGTTCAATGGCATTGTGTATGTACTTCACATTGTGTGGCCTTTCCCTCTATCTCTATTTCGTTCCTTCACCGTTGACATACACTGCCTGCCCATTCAAGCTCTTTTGATGGGCTGTTGGCAGTTGACCCTTGTAGATGGTTCTTTGTAGAAGTACAGTGTTCAAGGCAATTGGACTTAACTGTAGTGCAGTGTGAGGGGCTTCAGTATCACAGTGGTCAAAGCATTTGGCTGCTAACCAAAAGGTCAGCTGTTCAAACCTACCAGCCATGCTGACGAACGAAGATGAGGCCCTCTGCTTATTTGGCATCAGTGGTGGTAGGTCTAGGTGGTTCAACAGTGGCATGAGGGGATGGGTATAAAGATGCAGACGGTCGGGTTTTATGTGTAACTGTTTTCCCCCCAGTTTTTCGTTTATGGGAGCTACTTTGCAGCAGTTGCTGTGATTTTTCTGTTGAGAAGCATGTATGTTATATACTCGGCCAGAAGCACCAAGCGGATGCTGCAGAGTTCAGCCGGTCAGCGGAAACCAAGGAGCCCACACCCGGAGGAGCCAAGTCCTGTGACCACAGAAATAAAGCTCTAGCCTCTCACGCTGACCTCTGATCGGGGACTCTGCAGGCCCCAAAGTCCACAACAGATAGGGTGAGCTGTTCTGTCAACTTGACGTACTTTGCAGGTCTGGACTCTAGTGACACTTTCCAGAACCTCAGCTTTAAACCAGACAACTTTGTGCCTCTCATTTCCATTCACACAACCCAAGGGGTGGTGCCCCATGAACAGGAGTGACTGAGAAGTCCTGCCTTGGAGATGCAGATAGCCTGACAGCCATGGAAAACTCCAGCAGCTGAGGACTGAATGGTCCCCATTTGTGAGAAGACATTTTCTTCAGACTGGTCTGTGGTTTGCTCTAGATACTTGTATGATCTGACAGAAATACACAGAGGGCAGCTTTTATATCACATAAGTCATTTTCCTTTCTCTCCCATTAAGTGTATTTATCATTTACAGTTCTCAGAGAGAATCACCAGGTTCAATGCCATTTCTACAGACTCGTCAACTTTGATAACTCAGCATTACTCACATGCTGGTATCGGACTCTTCATCATGTGCTCTGCTGACGCTGTTGTTCAGAAACTACCTCAGGAATAACTCCAGAAATGCTTATTAGTCAAGAATGACGTTCGCTTTTCACTGGCCCCTGGCAGACGCAGATGCCTTAAGCACAGAGAGATGTGAAGCTATGTCAATGCTGTGTCAAGCTAAAAGCAAAACCTTGGACAAGGACTTCCTGTGTATTTTTCTATAAATAATAAAACATGAGTGGGAAATATATTTTTTTTAAGTGTGCTAACATAGAAGCAAGCCTTCTTAATTTTGGGGATCGTGCTGGAAGTGTTCTGAGTATGTGTTTCCTCATTCAAGTCATGACACAATCTGACACTAGAATACTGGATGCTGATTCTGAACATTTGTCATTCAGATATGCTTTTCTCCAGATCCTAAACCTCGGTCGCTAAAGATGAAATAAATGTACTGCCTTCCGCTGTGCATAGTGGAGGGGTGAAGAGCCCAGACTTGGGACTGGAGTTCGGGAAGGTCAGGCCTCCATCCTGGCTGAATAGTTTGAAATCCAGGCAGGTTGCCACAAGAAGCCTTCGTTCCTCACTTTGGAAATGGAAGCATAACCCACTAACTAGAGCTGTTTCATTTCTAGTAAGGATTAAATTAGATAAATACACACATTCCTTGAAATGAAGGTCTAGAATGTCCCACGAATGATAGTTAATAGTTGTGATCTACCCCACAAGCAATGTTATTCCCTAAAAAAGGACAGTGAGCGTGGAAAGCATTGACTCGGCTGGCACAAGGACTTAAAACACATCCTGCTTGTCAAGGTGCTCCGTCTTTACAGAAGCAATCTGTCCCTCTTCCTCACACGGAACAGTTGGTGGCTTGAAATCCCCGAGTCCTCGTCGACTCGACAGCACATAGCATCAGCAGACTTTCCGCTGCATCCAGTACACCAGCAGGTCACTGCTGAGTTCCACTGAGACACTCCAACTCACAGTGACCGTGTGTGCAGTGGGAGGGAACTGCCTAGTCCTGCCCCATGCTCTAATCCCTGCTTTGTTTGAGCCCTTGGCTGCCGTCACTGTCAGTCCAGCTCATTCACGGTCTTCCTCTCTTCTGCTTTTCCAAGCATGATGTTCTTCTCCAGAGACGGCCACCTCCTAATAAAACGCCCAAGTGTGTGAGACGAGGTATCATCATCTGTGCTTCTGAAGAGCATCCTGGGTGCCCATGTCCTAAGACTTCATTCTTTTGGCAGCTCATGGTATATCCAATATTCTTTCCCAGCACCACAATCCTAAGGCTTCAGTTCTCCTTCAGTCTTTTTATTCAGTGTCCAACTTTCACATGCATATGGAGCAATTGAAAAGACCATGGCTTGGGTCAGGTACACCTTAATGTTTAAACTGACGTCCTTGCTCGTTAGCATTTCAAAGAGGTCTTTGACAGCAGGTTTCCCCAATGAAACATGGCTTTTGGGTTTTTGAGTGTTAACTGCCATGGGTGTTGACAGTGGATCCACTTCAGTCTTCTCTGCGTCTTCATAATGTTGCTATTGTCCTAGTTGCAAGGACTTTTGTTTTCCTGCTATTATGATGTAAGTAATCCATACTAAAGACTGAGGCGCTTTGATCTTCAGTCAATGCTTCAAGTCCTCTCCACTTTCTGCGAGTAAAGTGGTGTCATCTGCATAATGCAGGTTGTTGGTGAGTCTTCCTCCAGTCTTGGTGCCACATTTTTCTTCACATGGCCTATGTTCTCAGATTACTTATTCAGCATAGTGATTGAATGGGTGTGATGAAAAGAGGCCAGCCTGCCACACACGTCCTGATTTTAAGTCATGGAATATCCCCTTGTTCTGTTTGAATAACTGCTCTTTGGCCCATGAACAGGTTCTGCTTGATCACACTTAAGTGTTTTAAGATTCTTAGTGTTATCCATGTTTTACCATGAGTCACAGCTGACTTTCAGATGCACAGGAAGAAATGGACAATACCGTGACTTGCATTAGGTGCATCTTAGTCTTTAAATTGACATCCTTAATCTTTAGGACTTTAACAGGCCGTTAAGAGCTGCTTTTCCCAATGCAGCCTGTCTTTTCACCTCTGACTGCTGCTACCATAGATATTCATTGTGGATTCAAGTAATAAGAAGTCATTCATAACCTCATTCTCTTTTCCACCTATTGCCCATCAGTCCAGTGGTGAAAATTTTTATTTTCTTGATGTTGAGATGTAACTCATATTGAAGGCTATAGTTGTTGATTTTCCATGGTGTTTCAAAATCTACTCACTTGCAGAAAACAAAATTGTGTCATCTTCATGATGCAGGTTGTTGATGAGTTCCTCCAATCCTGATAGCACAGTCTTCTTCATATAGTCCATCTTCTTAAATGATTTCCTCAGTAAACAGACTGACTAGGTATAGAGAAAGGATACAACCCCAACACATAACTTTCTTGATTTTAAATCATGCCGTGTTCCCTTCATCTGTTTGGACTTCATCTGCTTCTTGGTCTGTGTATAAGTTTTGCATAAGCGTAATGAAGTGTTCTAGGATTCTAATTCTTCTCAGCGCTAGATATAATTTATTATAATCCACACAGTCAAATGCATTTGCATAATAAATAAAACCCATGTAAACTTTTTTCTGGTATTCTTTGCTTTACCCAAGATTTTTTGACGTATTCCTCATATTCCTCCTCCTCCTCATCTATTTGATGATATTCCTCATACCATCGCCTCCTCTGAATCCAGCTTAAATTTCTGACTAGTGCCAGCTGGGTTTTTTTTTTTTTTTTTAAATTTTTTTTTTGCCAGCTGTTTTTTAAAAATAAGGTTCATCAGTAATAATACTGTTTGATAGTTTCTGCTCTCTGGTGGAGCGCCTATTTTAATAGGAAGAATTACAAATATAGTTGTTCTTGTTATGTGTCATTGAGTCCCCTGTGACTTATAGCAGCCCTATGACAATGGCCCTAAATCCTGCTCTATCTGGTGCCAATCTCACTGTCTCCGACCCCATTATCTCAGTCACTGAAGCAGTCCACCTCATCAAGGGTCTTCCTCTTTTGTGCTGTCCCTCCACCCTCCCAAGCATGATGTCCCTCTCCAAGGACTGGTCCCTCATTACAACATGTCCAAAGCATGTCAGATGAAGCTTCAGAATCCTTGCCTCCAAGAATCAGCCTGGTCTCACCCTCTCTAGGATGAACATCTTTATGTTCTCCTAGCAGTCCATGGTATATTCAAATTCTTCTCTAGCACCACAACTCAAAAGCATCAATTCTTCTATCATCCCTAGTCATTGTCAAGCTCTCTCAAGCATAGCAGGTAATGGCAAAGACCATGGCCCGAATCAGGCACACCTTAGTCTCCAGACTGACATCATTGCTCTTCAGTACTTTGGCGAGGTGTCCGACAGCAGACTTTCCCAATGCAATTTGTCTTTTAATTTCCTGGCTTGATGGTACCAAGAGTGTTGATTTTGGAGCCGAGCAAACTAAAGCTGTTAACTATCTCAGTCTCTTCACCATCTATCATGATGCTACCGATTGGCCCAGTGGTGAGAATCTTTGTTTTCTTAATGTTGATCTTCAGTACATATTGAAGGCTACATGTAGACAGTTTTAAAATGGGGAAGAACATGACAACACTTTGTTCTATTGTGTATAGAGTCATAATTTGGAACTAACTCAATGACATCTAACATCATACACCCAGGAAACCCGATGGTGAAATGTTTAAGTGTTCAGCTGGTAACTAAAAGTTTGATGGTTCAAACCTACCCACAACTCGGACAGATTTGAGGAGGAGGGGCTCCCGTGAAGAATTTGGCTTGGTCTCCACTTGGCTGTGTTTCTTCAGCACCTGTCCACCTAGCATGCACAGATGTATGGATAAGTGAAAAAGCGTTACTGGCTTGAGGAGCAGGGAGTGATGGGGACCCCTAGCTTATCGACTTGGCCGCACATGAGGGCTAAGGCTGAATCAAGGGACTAGCCATCCTGGAACACAGGACGAAGTGTGGGGCCCTGAGTGTGCAGCTGATGCCCATTTGAATCTAGCCACAGATGGCTGGTGACGAATTGACCAGAACCCAACCAGATGAAGAGAATACGATCCATGCTATGAGCCAGGGTTGACTGCTGCGCCCTGCTGGCTTGCTCTGGATTGGGCTGGCTTTTGCTTGTGGATGCAGGTGCTCAAAGTTTCCAAACTGAACAGAAGATTATTCAGAAAAAGGGATATTCTTGTTCCCTCAGTACTGTTTTGATGAGGTTGGACAAATCAGCAGTTGGCTATATAAACTGGGGATATTAAGGCATGAAGTCGCCAGCTAATACACTTTAACGAATGTAGTTACATGTAAGATGATTGTAAGGGGAGAACACTCATTTGGCCCTGAAACCTGTGTGAGGCATCACTACTCTGTGGGATAGAGTTGTTACAAGTCGGAGTGTTTGGATGTGCAAGATCTGGAAGTCGTTTGATCTGTGGTGCATAAGGAAAT